TGCTCCGCTCCAGGTGGCACGGACGGCTGCGGTAGCTTCGGCGCCGGCTGCGGGAAGGGGATTAGCCCCGACACCCTGCTGGTCTTCCCGGAAAGGGACTGAAAAGGGCTGGCGCACTTGCTGCTCTTTACCTTTTGGAGGGTTTTTTGTAGTTAAAAGATCATTAAAAAATCAAATGGCATCCAGTATCATCTACTCAATTCGTAGACTGTACGGGTTTGGGGTGGGTTGTTTTTTCCCAAACACAGATTTAAAGTTGTTAAATTTATTTCCACAACCTAACTTTCACTGTAGCAGTGTAAAAAACTATTTCAATACTACTTAGCACTTGGGAACCTACTGCCTGGTGAACAGTTGCCTTTTTGCAACTGCATTGCCTTTTGCCCTTTTACACCGCATACGGGAATTATTCTCACTTAAGATGTTGTAAAACTGCAGAGCTTGAGTTTGCCATACGCTTCAAACACATAAATAGCCTCGCATCTCTGTCTTGCAGCTCCACGTTGACAGGAAAACGGGCTGCGTGCTGTGGTTAAGCAGCTAAACCAAGGGCTGGAACAGCAATCTTTCCAAACTACTCCTACAGTTACCCAGGAAGTCACATACAGATTCAATTATGGCCCTAACCCCTCACCTACCATCTCGTCCTCACATTTGCTTCATTTTGTTAATAGGCATTAACGTGACAACTTCCCACCTAGAGAGGCAGGTGAACACAGATCGAGGGAAGAAGCACCCCTGCTTTGAGAAACAGTGCTCTGGACGGCAAAAGCCAGCGATCAGGCAGTGACCCAAGGCAGAAGAAAAGGAAATGGGAAGTGAAGCAACTCCTACAGACAAGAAATAAGCAAAGCTCTCACTAAATACTGGTTCCATGTTGCGAACAGGCCAAACCCCATTATTTTGAAAACAGAGGGCATAGTGAAGTCAAACATCTTAAACATTACTCCTCCCTCTGATCCAGTTTTACTTAACACCTGGGGTCTGTTATTACAGTGCAGCTGCACTTAAGAAACATCACACCCAGACAGTGTAACTGTTTTAACAGCAGCTTTCATCACAGTTTGAGGACAAACTCTTTTCATAGCAAACAACTTCTGAGGTTATTTGCAGTCAAGAAAAGTTACAAATTCATTTCTGCTGCAGAGATGGGGGAGATGTTTCGCTAGAAATTTATACAAGCCCACCAACTGAAGACAGCCTGTGCTTTTACTCCTGATGGTCCCCATCATTCCTGAAAAGTTTCTTAGCATATAATAATCTTAAGTCGGTACTAAAATAATTTAATCCAGATTATTTACTAATGAATTCACCAAAAGCCTACTTTACCAGCAACCAAGGTACTTTCATTGGGCAAAGGGGAATACATGTTCACAGAGTCAGGTAAGCAGAGAGAAGCCATAGTTAGTAATCAACAGAATTGCCCCTGCTTGTCTTCCCCAGAGGAGCATCAGGAGGCAACAAGTACAAGCAGTGACGATACAGCTTTTTAAAAGCTTCCTTCACTCTGCTTCTGGGAGGCAAGTTTCAGAGTCGCTTATCATTAAAGATACCTTTTTTGTTTATAATCAGGTTTTGTAAGGTATCTAAAGAATTTGGAAGTATTGCAAGAGCCACATCTCCAGCTAAACCAGGCAGAGTATATTGTTTATGTGAAAGCTGACTATTACTTATTTGCAGAGCTAAGGAAGGCTTTACTAGCTAGAACATTGCAAAAGAGCACACTGCACCATCAGCTAGAGCTACCACAGAGATTACAACGGATCTTGCAGGACATGTCAATACCTCCACTTCTGTTCTGCTTGTTAAACACACAGCGTTGTCCCCTCCTTCCAGTGCTTGTTAGCAATACAACTACTTTGTAAAGAGGGAACAAGTTTTAACCGAACTTCACTAGTGTGGACTGCGATTTTGCTGAAAACAGCCTCAATATAAGCCCCGCCACTCCAGACTTCCCACTGTAGCAGAGCAAAGGCTTATCTAAACGTGCCACTTTTGTCACAGTAAGTGTCACAGTAGTTCTATTGGTTTCATCATGGCAGTACGCAGGGAAAAATGAAAAGCTGTAAGTTTAATGCAGTTCTATCAAGATTAAATTTGTGCACTGTCTTTGAAATGTTTTGAAGGGGTTTTTTTTGTTGCAAATTTACTGGATTAAGTGATGTTACATAAAAAGACAGAGTCAAAACCAAGCATACAGTTCTGGCCTTTATAGTAAAGCAGCATAGGAGCAATAGCTCTAACTCTCTGACACCATGACTTTCACCGTCCCTTCCATAACAGTCTTTCCACTTTCTTTGACTTTACATGATACTGAAATGTGTGCAATAGAACCCTTCAATCGTTTAACTTCAGCTGCAGCTATGACTTCTTCACCAGTGTACAAAGGAGCTGGAAATCGGATCTCCTGAGAAAGAAATACACAACCTTGACCAGGCATTTTAGTACCCAGAACTGCGGAAATAAGTCCATTGATCAAAACTCCATGTACGATAGTTCTCCCAAACCTAGATTTCTTTGCAAAATCTTCATTTAAATGCAAAGGATTTGTGTCACCTGTTAAAGCAGAAAAAGTAACAACATCATTCTGTGTAAAAGCTTTGGTAAGTTCGGCTTTGTCTCCAACTTTTATGTGTAAACTCTGAAGTACGGGATGTCCAAGCAGTGAATTGATAACTGTTAGCTTTGTCAAGGCTCTCTGTCGGAAATCCCCTCTAGAAATTCCACACCTGAAGGGCTGCAACATCTCAAGCAACTTCTGCTTCGTACAACCAAACCAACAACCGCATTCAGTCCAAGACTAGTTCTCTACTGTTGCCAGATAACGCAAGAAGAAATGGAGATGCCTAGTTTAGGGGGAAGAAAAAAAAACACAAAGCAAGAAACAAACTAAAGCATTGAAAAAAAAACCACCATCAAATGCACTCAAAGTTGAAAATACTTAAATTTCCCTTTTACACAGAAAATTAAAAGCTTAAGAGCTATGCCCAAGCAGATTTTTGTTTAGCCATGGCTTCAGAGACAAAGAATTCTTGGAACTCATTTTATTAAGCAGCATCCTCAGGAAAAAATAAGCTCTGGAAGTGCATGTTCATGCATGCATTTTTAAATGAGGTCAGCTGACAGCAACTATTAGAAGAAATGGGGTAGCAGAAATGAAAGATTAGATCAAGATGTGGGCCAAGAACAAAACTTCCCAGAAATTATTTTCTTGCAGATGTATTAATGAGATCAGGACTTCTCATTGGAATGAAACCATAAAGTAATGAGACAGCCACTACTGTCACATTTTACAAGATTCATTGTAAGATGAGAACTGCTTAAACGCAGGCCTACACACCTCCATTGAAAAGCATTTCACTCCCAAACCAAGACATCTGTGCATCTAGGCCATCTTTCTATGAAGAGGCAGCGTGCTCAGCTAGCCAGACAACCTTAGACCAAGAACTGACAGTTGGGGGTAGCCATCCAGCCCCTGCAGGGCTTTACCTGCAGCACTCGAAAGGCACACCTCCTGTTCTGGTAGAAGCCCAGCAATGTTAGAGCACTCCACAGCTTGACAAGGCCACTAAGTAAAAAGAAAACAAAATATATTAATAAAATTTGGTTTTCTCAGTTTTCCTGCAGCATAAACATCCTAAATAAAACACGTTACATAAAGATTAACAAAACCTTAACGGAGTTTAACAGCAGGTAATTTCACTGATGAGTTCTAGTAGCAAGACTGTGCCCTGAAGGGTTATTGCAATGACTGCAGTCTCTTGTCCTTGACAGAGATACATACTGTAACCTTTTCAAGTTCACTTTACTGTCCCTGTTCTTTTCCTCTCTGTGCGTTTACGTTCCTTCTTCCCCTGAATCACCTGCAGTTGTCTTCACGGTAATCATTCTCATCTTTACTATAGAAAGAGATTTAAAGCCACATATTTCAATGGTGCTTAGTTCCTGTCAGACCACTCTGTTTTAAAGCAGGAATAATGTACCGATACAAGTAGGTTACCAAAATCTTAGTGATTTTTTTATTTATTTTCTGCATGCTCTATGCAGATATCTGCAAGTTAGGCTTAATTCTTCAAAGACCATTCTTAGCTTAAGAGTTCTGTTTCCTTATAGAAAACATTTTCATGGCAGTACCTGAAGCGCGTACCTACTGTACCTTACCTGCTAACAACTCTTAATATGGCAGACAAGGTTTTTTCCTCATATGTTAAGACATCCACAGGCAAAGCTGCTCCAACCTGTGAAAAAAATACATTATTTAGTAAGTACCATCCTGTACTCTTATAGTTGTTTATAAGCAAGTGAATTCACTGCCAGCACATGACATCATTAAAGGTGTTATAGTTACGCTCAAATCTCACGCGAGTGTTTCAGCTACAACACCACCAGATTTTATACAGGACCCTTCCTCTCAGAGCTCTTCAGATAGAAGCCACTTTTAGTTCCACATTACAGCTGGAGAAACAGGGACCCAGCGGTGTTGTGACTTGCTTAAAGTCACCCAGCAGTACCGTAAACAGAGCAAGAATAGTAAGTCTCCCTACAGCAAAAGCATCGATACCCCAAATTCTAAGAGCCAGATGTGCTGGAGCCACTTGACTGTAGATGCCAAGACAAAACGTACGACTCCAGCTTCGTTAGGAGCAACTTACAACGCGGGCCGGAGAGCAGGTAACGGGTTAACGGAGAGGCAAACCGAAGACACTTACCCTACCTGCGCAGGCCCAGGCCTCCAGGCCGCCTCTTCAGCCCGCCGTCAGCTCCGCCCCTCTCCGGCACCGCTCCGCAGCCAGGCGGGCTGGTTTCGGGGGGCAGAGCCGACAGAAAACCCACCGCGGAAGCCGAGGGCAGGGCGGCCGCTCCCGCAAAGGCCCTCCTGGGCCCAGCCCCGAAGCCGTCAGCCGAGGGAAGGAGCCCGGCCCCGGTCCCGCCTCACCTCTCCGTGCAGCTCCCTCAGCGCCGACACCACCAGCTGCTTGAACTGCGCGACGCTCGGCCGGGCCCCGCCGTCCGGCAGCTCCCTGCGGGGAAGCAGAGCAGAGGGCAGGCTGGCGGGGCTCCGCGGCGGCGGGGGAGCCGGC